GGCTATCGAATCAATTATGTCTTTAAGCACTAAGCCACTGCCTATTATTAGATATTAACGTCGGCGCCATATGCACGTTCATCGTTGACGCTACCATGACGATAGCAGCGGACAGCAGCTGCCATCGCAAAGCAGTAAGAGAGTACCAGTATGCACAATAGAAACAACAGCAACAACAACGACAACGACATTAACAAGAACAATAATGGCGTGATAAAACGCACGTAAAACCAAAAGCAATGAAATAATTTTATGAATGAATGGCCGCAGTCAGCGAAGCGCAATGCAGTCAGATCACATTAAACACATTAAACGAGCTGGTGGGTCCCTCCATCGACTGGCCAGGACCGTTACAAATCAAACCCGAAGCTCAGTCAAGCGCTATGATTGATATGCCAAACTGCCAATGCCCGACTGACTGGATTTATGGCGTTCGAACGCAAATTCATAAGCGAGCTAGCGTACCATCCAACAGGTCGTCATCGCAGTCAGTAGTGAGGGAATATGCCTCATCCCCACCTCCATCAACAAATCCGGCTGCCGCTTGCAAGCCTGCCTCAACTTAAAGCCCATAGGGGCAGCAGTTCTCACAAAAAAAAAACAAGCAAACAAAAAATTTTTAACAAAGTTGAGCTAACTTTAATAAAATATAAGTTGAGATTTCAAGTTGTGATTTGCAGAATACAAAATGCTCTTTTCGTAGAAAATCATTTAAGTACTTTACAAATTTACCAACTTGCTTTACAAATACAATCAAAGTAATATTTCCGGGACCCCAAAAAGTTTACATTTATTAATGTGCTAGAGTGTTTGAAGTTCTCTTTTACCATTAAAAACATATTTTTAGAAAAATGTTAGCCTTGCCAAAAGTTGCAGGCTTCAACACAAATATTTTTAGTGACAGTAATTCTTTCTAATGGCCAGTAAGCATCAAAACAAAATTCATAACAGTAATAAACCTAAAAGTGACCACGGATATCATGTTACATAAATCCAAGGAGCATACAGGCAATTATTTTATCATTATGGAAGAATAAATGTAAACAATTTTTCTAAAATAGGCTATATTCATTTCATTCGCTTCATTTCTTAGTTCTTTTGTAAGCAACTAGTCGTTACAATTATATACACATTCAATATTACAATAATATAATAATAATTCAAATAAAATACCTTCCGGACTTATAAATTAAAACTTTTGATACAACAATATTGCAAAATTTGGTTGCATATTTTCTAAATTCTATGCCATAAATCATTATTAAAGGGAATTTCGCAAATCAATTTTCGGCTGACATATGTTTGACAGAAAATTAAAATAAATCATTTTTTAAAAACTTGTTTACAACGCATAGCCACTATTACTTACTGGTAAAAGAAATCTGGTATAGCAAATAAGAATCCCTTTTCTTTGTGCTAATTATTATTTCATTTTATTTTCATTATATTTATTGTCATTTGGATGATTTTCACTTAAATGTTATCGATCGATATAACATAGAGCGCTAACTCTGTTTTTCATGCCATTAATTTTTTCAAAGCGATTCCGGTAGCGTAAGGCAATTGCTAATTGCGATATTGCAATTAAGAGGGTATTACTTCGCAGTCGACCACTTAATCATTATAGTTATCTAAGCGTTATCATATGTGTCATCGCTATAAGCAATTAAATATTCGAATGTCATTGTTCAGACAAGTAATGCAGACTTAAGGAAAGCTACTATAATTTACTGCTGTTAAATTCACTTTGAATTTAATTTTACACAGAATTTATTATTGAAAGCTCCACCTTCCCGAATTAAAATGGTATGAATTACTGATATAAATAGATGTTCACATTCAATTAATGCTACCCTTTTAGTTAGAGCAACAACGAAAAAGTAAACTACAAACTTATTTTACACGGTTTTGATTACAATTTGTATGATCTCCAATAGGTGCTTTAATGTGAACAATGGTATAGCTTAATATACCACTTATTTACAATCGAAACAATTAACAAATGAAAAAATTGTATTCAAGGCCAAATCAGTCAAGGCGTACAATTTCAAAACAGCTTGAAATTTGAAAATGTTTTGAAAAAAATTGGACCAATCCTTTATTTATTTATTTGGATTTTAAGACGAATTGCTGTCATAAGTCTATATAAACAGAACTATGAAGTCAAAGGTCTCAAAAGCTTTTAAAAGCGTTTCTCGACATGTATTGTAAATTTATGCGCACATAAAACATACACAAAAACATATAAGTACACGCATATGTTTGGACTACGAGGCGTATGTGCAATGGCATTCATACGCACCGTTGCCAGTCGACTTCATTTATCGTAATATGCTCACTAATTTTATTGCCTTACAACGGCATAACAAATTTTGAAGTTCGCTTTCAACTTGCTCCTTCCGGTTAAGGGCTGGGTGGGTGTGGGGATCAGACTGTTGTGTGTTTTATGCGTCAACAAGAGAGGAATGGGAAAATTTTCATTTGCAATTTTATACAACTTTCGGCTGCGCTGCGAGCATTTTGCTGCGTATGCTGTGGGAAGCGAGGACGGGGGTGCTGGGTGGCGAACCATTTGCAGACACGTGTACCTGGCGCATGCATAATGGCAAACGCATAAACAATATGTTGGTTGGTAATTTCAAAATTCATGAGTTCATGTTTTATGTCTGTTTTATCTTGTGTATGGGTGGACGGGCAGACGAGCGATAGCAGCCATAAGCTAAAGTTAGAATCGCTTCAAGCCAAGCATTCTTTATGGCACATACATACATAAGATAACATTCAGATCAGTTATATCAGCACATCTCATAATGGCTACAATACTCGTATTTAGCTATCTATGTATTGCGAGTCTAAATTGTACAATTGGCCAATTCCTAAATTGGCACTTGTGGAGAACAATTACCCAGCCTCTTTGAAGAAAACGCATTTCACGAGCACACACTTCAAACTAAAGCTATAGAAGTGGCAGTGCACTTAACTTAGTAGTAGTCTAAGAAATTGCATTTGTGCTTCAACGCCTCTTGGAAATTATAGGAGCAGCCGTTCAATTGCCGCATGCCGCTACCTTTGTCTAGGCGAACTGTTGCACTCAAGTATAATTAAATGGTTCTATTTACTTAACAATTCAAATTCAAGAGCACATGAACAATACGTTTGTATTTTTCTTTAACTTGCCTCTCTGTATTCCATCTTTTGTTTAATGTTTACTTAGAGCTTTGCATCGAGGCGGTTGCACTGTGAAATGTTACAATGTTTATATTTGCCAAACATTAACAGGTTGGCGAAAGAACTAAGAACGTATATAGGTGCACAGCAGCCAGCAGCGAGCAGTCGTATATTGCAATAAAACAGATGCAGTACGGAGTCAAGTCCACCACAGAATGTGAAGGAAATCGGGACAGAATAGTGGACCAAATGAAAAACCAATATCAAGTGGTCTGCCTGAAGCATATGTACTTAATCGACCGCGTATGCTTTTGGTTACGCGCTCTTGCCGGCAGGCATTGCGTATACGCCGTGTCTGTACATGACACAACACGTTCCGAGCACATGCGGGGTTAGAAAGGTTACTTTTTATGTTGTGCTTTTTAATTTATCTCTTGTTGGAGGCAAATACAAGATTACACAAAATTTTCCCTTGTTAAACAGTCTCAATAGCATATATGCAGTTCATACAACGTAAAACGAACACATTCACGTATGTACATAAGTTGCACATCCATATACATGGCGGAACGATGCAGTGATTCAAATCAAAACTAGTTTCTTTACTGTATAAATAACAATCGTTAATTTTTTTATATATTTTTTTTTTATTAATTTTTCAAACATTTTTATTGCTCAGTACAAATAACTATCTTTTGTTAAAAAATAGCAATTTTGTTACCTTTTTCGCCCGCACGCTCAATTTATTTCACAGGTTGAGTAGGGTTTTCACACTAAGTTAAAAGTTATATTTCAAACCTAAAACATAACATCCATAAAAGCTTCACAAAATCAAATGCTTTACGTTGATTACAAAAACCTTTACATACGTTATTTTTACTACATTCTCAATATTATAATTATTATTATAATTGAATGATTTTAATCAAATTTATACACGGTTTAAATTCATAGAATATGAATAAATATACCATAAAAAATGGTATATTCAAATCGAATTAAAATAAAATCAATTGAAAATTATAATTAGCCAACTGGTGTTTTGGTTAGTCAAAATAAAATCAAAAATGTTACTCCATAGTTTTGTTTCGTTTACTCTAATGAGTGTGCACTGTACATATATTTATATGTTTGATTTCCTCGGTCTCTGTTATAAATGTGTTTTGCTTTGTTGTGCTCTTAAAATGGATACCAACAAAGCATTTGGACTAATCAGACGTTAATTCTTCAATTTAACGCTTATTTATGGGTTTTATTGTGTGTTAATAGGCGACCTGCTAAGTGATCGTCACATCCACTTTAAGAAACGCAAGTAGCCCGGCAAACTTGCGAAAATCTTTTAGAATACATAGACCCCGGCGCATATTTGCCCAATTCGTTAAATAGTATGTGTCGAATGGTCAGTGGGAGATCTGTTGTTGTTGTTTATTACTTGTTTTGTAGATTTATTTTTGGGACCGTTCAAGCGTTTAATGGACTTTTTTGATGCTATTATTTTATTAGAATTTTCATGGAAAGTCCATAGGCTAGGCGCCATAAATAGAACTAGTCATTAATGTACACAATACGATCGGTTCATCAATGAGTTCACAATTAATTGGACACGCAATATGCCTCAATGTGTTAATAACATTCTCATGAACAGTTTTAACAACCAACACAGCCATACAATTAAGCGTTAATCTCTTTTTCGTTCTCTTTTTACTAGTAAATTCAAACTAATACAAAATGCGGATGACACATTCAAAGTTTGGACCACACACAATGATAATTTCACTGTAGATTTGGCATTTGTTCGCCCTCTGGGAGCAGCAGCTGATGAAATAAAATACCTAGAGCATAGTTCTTGGCTTCAAAGCAGGAAAAATTCGCGCGCACGCCACTCACACAAAAAAATTAATTCCGACGACAATACGAAACCAGGCCCAGAGCAGAGTGTTAGGTTGCCGAGCAACTGGTGCTATGATAAGAACGCCAACGATAATTTACTTGTACTAAAACGACGATGATGCAGGCAGACTGGCGACCGCGCACACACGTCTAATGGTGACGACTGGCAGCACCAAACTGCGATGTACTGAAAGCTTTCCGGACGGCCCACCTGCACATGATGGGAGGAGGGGAGACAAGCACCCTCACACGCCCACACCCACATATACAATCGAAGATAGTAGTAGTAGACAACAGGATGCGGATATACGAGTACACTGCAACAACTTGTAGCTATGGGAGACCGGCACGAAAGCTCAAATGTGTGTGGGGTGAGATATACACAGTGCTGATGAGAGTGTGAGAGAGTGCGAGAGTCTCTAATAAAAAGCTTTGCGACCTGCTGAGACCGGCATTTTCGTAATGGCCTTTATAGACATGTATTTGCATTCAGTTGGCGCACTCTAAAAACGCTTGATGTCCATTCAAAGCTTCTTAGAATTGCATTTCATTGCCCAAACCAATGGCACGACAGCTATAACACCTGTCGCCTGCAATTGACAGTCAAACTGAATGAGACGTTTAACGCAATGGCTGCATTTTATTTACGAACACATATGGCAAAAAGGAATAAAGTGCTCGGAAAAGCATAACTTTTCTGTTACAAGATAAATTTCAAATTGTGCTTGCAAAGAAATTCAAAATAATAGTTTTAATGGGTGATGTGCTTACATAGCAGGTTTTGAAATTATTTACTCGTACTCTAATGATTACCATTTTATTCAAACTTTACAATGATGTTTATAAAAAATATTGTATCATCCCTTTTTTTTTACTTTTTAACACAAATATAAATATTTCAAAACAAGAAAATTCACAGAAAATTTGACATTAGATGAAATCCAACTCGAATTTGCAAATAGAAAATTAAAAGTAGATCCATTCTGAGCCAATGTTATATTAAGACTGAACTATTGAAATCCGTTGGTTTAATTTATCTCAAGGGTATTATAAAGAAGTTGCAGATACATTATGAATTGAATTTAAGATATTTTACAACCAGTTGTTTGAAGCGTGCTAATTATAGAGAACTACAAGTAATTTTATTCGAAAACACCGATTTCTTATAAGCTTAAAATAATCTTAAAGTCGTAATTGCAAGAACAAGGCGGAATTAATATTTATTTACTCCTGCACTAGCGTGGTCGCCACATTTCACACTTCGGTGGCTGCGGCTGCTCACTGGAGGTGCAGTTGAAGTCTCTGACAAATTGGCGCATATTATCCACAGCCACATTGACGCGTACATCGTCAGCATCGTGGGCTATAGCCGGAGGAAGTTTGCCACAAAAGAATTGGGCAAAGTTCAAGTAGAACAGCTGTGGGGCCAGAAACTCATTTTCGAAGGCATAAGGACGATACTCATACTGTTCGGAGGCTGAGCCGATGCCAAAGAAAGCATCGTATGCCAATTGCAGACCATTTATATCTGCCAGACGCTCCTTTAACGATGACGTTGGAGACTGCTGCGCACATTCCAGAGCAGATTTAAAGCTTCTTTGTTCGCGTATCTCCAGACCCATAGGCGTTTCGTTACCCAAGGCATTGTACAGTATACCTTCCTGCTCAAAGGCGTGGTTTATCTCATGAGCCAAAATAAAACCAATCAAACTCTGCTGAAAAATGGGATGCTGTTGCTGGTCGAAGAATGGCAACTGCAAGAAAATCAGCGGAATTGTGAGCGTATTGCGCTCATGTTCAAAGTAGGGAGCGCTTCGCGCCTTAAACACATCGTCGTTGACATAATATCGATTCAGCTGCATCTTAGCATCCTGCTGCAGCAGCGGCTGATGCTGTAGAAAAGTGCGCAGGCGCAGTGCTTGCCAATAGTTGTGATAGAAAGTGGAGTCCGTAAAGTTAGCGCTTCCATAGTAGTTGTCGTAGAAGGCTGGCTCTGTCTCAGCAGGCAGATTTCCCAGCTTCAGCTGCATAGCATCCAGCTTGGCCCGCACGTACGTCAAGTGTGTACGCGTGAGTTCCAAACGATTGACCTGCAAATAGTTGCGGAATGTTGTGCGTAGAGCTTCGAAGATGTCAGCCAGCAGACGAGTGTCCTGTTCGCGTGTCTTATACACATATCGATCGTAAATATAATTCATGCCCAGTGGCAGCAGGGCGAGCATATGATGGACACAGGTCGCTGGTGCGAGATCAGGCGGACTAGCTTCCGAAACAAAACGGCACAGACGCATAAGCAGATAAACCTTAAGCATGTGCGCGTTGCTGTAACGCGTTAATAACGCGCCAAGCTCTCTAAGGTACTCCACGTCGCTAACCTCCACTCGCAGGTTGGAGGGCGCCTCATCAGTTCCTAGCAACTCATTGAAATAAGTTTGCCAATCGATTTGAGGTATCTGTATCTTTAAATCGTTCAGGCTCCAGGCAAACACCACAGGCTCCGCACTGCGATGCTTGGCACTCAGATTGTTTAGCTGCAGATCCAGACCATAAAGATCCTCTGCGATTCGGTGCTCAGCTCTAGATATACTCTGAAACAGTCCAAACTCCAACATATGATCAAGAATTTTAAATTTGCTTTGAAAGTATGCATGTTGTGGCGGCATCCGTATTTGCGCCACATGCACCAGCGAATCATTGAATGCCACATCAGCTAGTTCTGTGAAATAGACGCCATTTAGGCCAAACTTGCGAAGTGTTGCCGTCACAAGCTCCCATTTATAATTTATTTCGGATGACAGCGTGGTGACCACGTCCCTGGGCAGCTCTTGCAAATAATTCTCCATTTTTGGATGCAAATGTTCCTGTCGGCTGCATGCCGCAAAGTAATTTTGCATTTGCTGCACCAAACGAGGCGCCATTTCCAACTCATTGCTTTCCATTCCGCGCAACAACCTTTCCATCTCATGCGCATATTTGTCTTCAACTATCTCAAAATTGTCGACGAAATGCCCGCGTTGCCAATTGCCGCACGCATAGGCCCAGAAATTGGAGCAGGGTGAGACATCACGCTTCAGACTTGAATGAATGTTGCGCGCCGAACCCATATTGATATCCTCGGGATCACAATTCACTTGACTGTTCATCAGCAGCATCAGCACTAGAAGCTTTAAGCAACCCATATCGGCCAAACTTATTGCACTGAACAGACCGACTTGGCTCTGCAGTGGTTATCTCTCCGCTCGTCTGAGCTCTGACATCGCGCTTTATCAACAGAGAGCGAGCTCGAAAATTTAATTTAATATTTATTGAAATATAGTAAGTAATAAAAGATAAGCAATAGAGTAGTGTTCAATACGTATAATAATCACTAAAATACATTAGAGCACCTTACATTTAACTCATCATTAAAATATTGGACTTCACAAACTTTTTAATCACACACGCTCTTAAGATACAGTCTAGAATAATTTTTCTGAATACATTTGTTGATCTTTGCCAGCATATATATAGTTATACAAAAATACATGAAGTGTTTCCAAAACTGGTTTGTGTATTAGCAAGAATTAACAAATAGTTTAACAAATTATTTGCCTGTGTGACCATCGCTTGTTTAAAAGACAGTATTTCAATAATATATTAGCTTTAAAATACAACCATGTTATATGGTTTTTTGGCTACTTCACTTTTTATTCTTAAACTTTTGCTTATTGCCCGTTTGCGGTTTTGCATTGATGCCTGACTTGGACTTTTTCAAATTTCCAATCTGTTTAGATTTGTGCTTCAGATTTTGTTTTTTGATGGGTTTACCCTCTAGTATGGGCAGGTCATCTATATTCACCTTGACTTTAGGCACAAGAGCTGATTTCTTAGAAGTTTTACCGGATTGAGTCGATGGTGTTGACTGCTCCTTCTTGGATTTAGCTCCGGGTGTTAACTCCTTTTTACTGGATTTAATTGTTGGTGTAGGCTGGTCCTTTTTGGGTTGAGGTGCTGGTGGTGACTGTCCTCTATTCAATTGAGCCGGCTGCTCCTTTTTGGACTGAGCTCCGAGTGTTTTCTGTCCTTTATTAGATTTAGTTGGTGGTGTGGACTGCTTTTTATTGTACTGATGCGATGGCGTTGATGGCTTTTTATTGAATTGAGCTGCTGGTGCCGACTGCTTTTTATCATTTGACCCACGTCCATTTACTGCTGCGGGAAGAACCGTGTGCAGAGCAGAAACATCATTTTTTTTCAATTTTGCTTTCTTATCAATAATGTTTTTTGTCTTTTCTTGAATGCCGTTTGTGGACAGATTTGGTGGCACTGGTGGTTCATTTGCTTTTGGTTTTTTCTCTACCTTAATGGGCTTTTCAAAAACCTTAGCCACATATTTTGTTTTACTCTGCTCCAGCTTTTTCTTCTTCAGCTCTGCTTCAATATCTGTGAGGTTTGGTTTTCCGGCGCGCTTGCCAAGCAGCTTTCGTGAAGATTTATCTGTATCTTCAGCTGCTCCAGCATCGTCCTCGTTTGACACATTCGTAGACTGATCAGTGGGTATGGCTTCGTCGAGCTGCTTTTCGTCGTCCTCCTGTTGTTCCTTGGTAAGGGGTATCGTATTGGAGAATTTCTTCAACTTGGCCACGTAGAAGCCATCCATGTTGTGTGTATGTGGATAGTAGCGTTTCGTTAGACTTAAGCTTGGATGGAAGCGATGCTGGCGGAATTTTGTAAAGCCATCAACCCCAAAATCGAGACCCGTTGGCACAAGCTTTACGTTCCGCTTCTTCAGTGCGTAATCAATTACCCATTCGTTCTCCTCCGGTAGCACTGAACAGGTTGAGTAGACGATATAGCCCCCGGTCGCTGATTTAGCATCCGTACAATCGATGGCTGTGAGCAACAATTTTCGCTGTAAGTTGTAGCAACGCTGCACATCCACCTCCGACTTAGTGGACTTTACACTGGGATCCTTCGAGACAACGCCCGTACCCGTGCATGGTGCGTCCAAAAGCACACGATCGAAACCACTTATGATGTTGCGGAACTTGGTTCCATCCTCGCAGCTAATTACGGCATTGACTATGCCCAGGCGATGAAAATTTGCTTTGATGGCATTGCAACGATCACGATTTGAATCGTTGGCAAAGAGCACGCCGGTATTCTTCATTATGGCGGCTATGTGCGAACCTTTGCCGCCCGGAGCCGAGCACATGTCCAGTATTCGTTCTTTCTCTTGGGGAGTTAGGGCCATAACTGGCAGCATAGAAGAGGCACCTTGTATCATGTAGTGACCGGCAAGATACTCAGGTGTCGCGCCTAGAGGCACCTGCGAATTGAAAATGACCAGACCCACCTTTGTCCACTTGCCCAGAGGATCCAAATTCACTCCACGATTAATAAGGGCACCTGCCAGATCGCGTCGGCGAGTTTTTAATGTATTCGTTCGAATAGTCAGAGGTCGTGGAACCTATTGATAAAAAATTGGAGATTAAACTATTTCCAGAGCATATTCAGAGAACTTACCTCAGAAGCTTCGAGGTACTCCATAAGCTCAGTCAATGGGAACATATCCATTAGTTTGCCCATGAGGAATTCATTGTAGCTGTAGTAAAGACATAGATCACGACGTAACAGATCAATATACTCGCCACGAGAACGATCGGCCTGCCGATACTTTTTGAAGTCGGACAGCACTAGTGACACATCCTTGATACGCTGTTGCACTTCCTGGAGTGTAAGACCGCTCTCATCCTCATCATTTTCGTCTGGGAACTTGAATACATCCTGCTGGTCGATTGCCATTTGGGCTTCCTCTTCGGCTAGTAGGGCTTCCTGCGCTTCTCGCTTTTTTAGTCTCTTGTTGGCTCGCTCAATGGGCAGCTTATCGTCATCATCGTCGTCATCATCATCGTCGCTGGCATTTTCACCAGAGTCTGCAGTTTCAGCGTCCGAAACATCAAAATCATCGTCGGAGTTGGCATCTTCGTCGTCGTCCGAAAGGTCGTCCAACTTGCCAACTTTTGTGCCGTCATAACCATCGTCCTCGGAATCTTCTTCCTCTATTTCATCGTCTGAATCGGCTTCGAAGCCGTTTCCACTATCAGAATCAAGCTCTGCCTCAGAATCTTCCTCAGCATCTGAGCCTACTGAATGCTCTTCCTCATCAGAATTGTCTTCGTCAACTGATTCATGCTCCGGCTTTGGCAGAACCTTTTTCTGTTGCTTCTTTAGTTTCAGCCAATCTTTATTTTCATCGGTGAAACCCTTAATAGTCTTTTGTTTCACAATATCAGGAATGGGAACCAACTGTGGCACCTCCTCATCAGAGGAGCTTTGCTGTTTCTTAACCTCATCCTCGGGTTCGCTGTCGCTGTTGTACGTTTTTTGCTTTCGCACCTGCTGTTTTCCTTTTGCCTGCTTTTCCTTTAGCTTAGCTTTCTGTACGACCTTTTTTTGCACGCGTTTCACCAAACGTTGCTTCTGACGGTGTGACAATTTTTGGTCTTCGACCTCAAGAGGAGCTGCAGTAATAAACACGATGCCGGCACAACATGAGTCTGACAGAAGTGAAGAATTTTTTCAATTACATACCAAACGATTTCTTGGGAAATGTTGGTGGCCCCTGTTTGCGAGCCTTGCGCCCAGGACCCTTCTTTTGTTTCTCACTGTATTCCGCTTTGCGTCCCATATTTTATAAAATTTACACTAAGTTAATAGAATCACGTCAAAGATACAACTAAAACTGTATGCTATTCACTCCACGTGCACAACGGGAAGCGACGTTGCACAACACTGCATTGAACAGTGCAACGAACGGCTGAAAACATTTATTAAAAGCCGAAAAACTGAATTTCACTGATTTCCCTATGAAAAAAACTGATAAACATATTAATACAATTGCATATATGTATGTATTATAGGATAAGATTTAGCAAATAAATTAAATAAAATATTCCGTTTAAGAAACAACCCAATTTAAGAATCAATGGTCAACTCTTTCTTAATTTTTTGGTAAAAATATTTTTTCCATATCAACAATATGTCTTGTTGTTTGTTTTGTTTAAATGCATAAAAATCAGGAACTTACGATCGCATACCAAAATGTAAATTTCAAGTATAACAAAAATGAAGATTCAGTCCCACTGTGCTCTGTAGAGCTATGTGAAATAGCGCGGAGCTCGGCAACTCTGGCAGTAATTGGCAGCTATTGACAAGCAAAACGGCAAACAAACCTTTAAAATGTAAAATTATACTGTTTATTTGCGTACCAAAAGTGAAATGGACCTCGCCAGCATTGAACTTAGTGTGGAGGCGCTAATCGGCTCTCTAGTGGCCCTAGGTGTGCTGTTTGTCTTCTGTCGCAGTATATTGGCCGAAGATGCCGTCATTCGGATCTCGGGAAAAACACGCCACAACTGGAAATCAATAAAAATATTAGGACAGGTGGGCTATTAGGGCGCACACTTGTTGCAAACCCCCAAATCTACACCTCACACCCCCCATAAGATTGACCCTGACACATGCGCACATAAATACTTACATATATTTGTATGGATATCTTTTTTTTTTATTTAGGCTTGTTTTTGCAACGTCTGTGAAATACTTCTGACGCCCTCTGCCGGCCTCTTTTGTGACTGCTGTGGCCTCTGCACTCATTCAACGCCGGCATGTCAGCGGCAGGCGGACCGTGATTATCGGTGCAAGGACAAATGGTTACGCAATGAGACAGCCGTGCGGCATTTATGGGTGCACGGCAACCTGCCGCTCAATGTTAGCTGTGCTGCTTGCAGCAAGGAGGTGGACGATCAACATAGCAGCGCAGGGCTCTATGGATGGCGTTGCGCCTGGTGTCAGCGATGCTATCACAATAATTGTTATAAACGCATCATCGACGAGAAGGATCAGGAGGAATGCGATTTTGGCGAATTTCGCGACATGATTTTTCCACCGAATTGCATTGTGGCTGCACGCACGCGTGAGTCTGTGCGTCTGCACCTGGCTGGAATTAGGCCGCCCAACATCGAGAACTGGGAACCGTTGATAGTGATTGCCAATACAAAATCTGGTAGCAGCACTGGAGCCAATGTTTTGTCGCTGTTAAGCGGCTATTTGCATCCGTTGCAGGTCATGGAGCTGGGCTCGCGTGGTCCTCAGGATGCGTTGCAGTGGGCTGCTAAAGCGAGTCCACGCCCATGCCGAATTCTTGTGGCTGGTGGCGACGGTACCATTGGTTGGGTGCTTAATGCCATCTACACGCTGAACATTAAGGTATGTTGTAGATATGTTATGTTATGTATTTAACGCTGCTCTTTATCTTAAGCCGCAACCCGCTGTCGCCATCATGCCACTGGGAACCGGTAACGATCTGTCTCGAGTGCTGGGCTGGGGCGCTGAGCCCCCAGCCGTGCTTGATCCGGTAAAGATATTACGCAGCATTCGACGTGCACGCTCAGTGAATCTCGATCGCTATGATTTGCAAATCGAGAAGTTGCATTTTCGCCTTCCCATACAGAGGCATCCCACAAAGACAATACACGTGTACAACTATTTCAGTGTGGGCGTAGATGCATTGGTCACTTACAACTTTCACAAAACCCGCGAATCTCGCTTCTACCTGCTCAGTAGTCGCATATTCAATAAGGTAAGACCAATTTCTCCTTAACCCTAACGTAAATATTAAATACCTTCCATCGCGTGTTGCAGTTGCTGTACTTCACATTTGGGACACAGCAAGTTATGCAGCCCGATTGCGAACGGATCGAGCAAAAGCTAATCCTGCATCTTGATAATAAACCAGTCGAACTGCCGGCGTTGCAGTCGCTTGTATTCCTGAACATTGATTCCTGGGGCGCCGGCTGTAAGCTGTGCGAACTAAGCAACTCAAATGGCGACGGACGCATTGTGAATTCCATTTCCGATGGTGTTATGGAGGTCTTCGGCATAGTATCGTCGTTTCACATTGCACAGCTGCAATGCAACATTAGCAAGCCAATACGCATTGGACAAGCTAAGCATATTCGGGTACGTCAGATACATAATGTTTTTAATTTCAATAACGTACCAATTTCTTGCAGTTGCAAGTAAACGGTACAGTACCAATGCAGGCGGACGGCGAGCCTTGGATGCAGGTTCCTGCAGATATAAGGCTTCAGTCGCGAAGTCAGGCTCGTGTCCTCAAGCTGGACGCGCTTTGATAGAGCCATATGTCCACGGAGTAATATTTACTCAACATTTTTCAAGTGCCAGTGCTTGTAACTTAAACTACAACGGCTTATGTACTTAACTCCCATGAGGCCAAAATTACACTCTCGAATAATCCATATAGCCCACTATTATTTGTTTCAACTTGTATGAATAGTTTGATAAGTTTTGAACCTGCAATATCAACTTATACGTTTTTTGTGTTGTAAAATTGCGGAACGCGTCCAAATAAAATATTAAAACTAGCCAAATTTCAGTAAGTCTAATTAAAATGGTTTTAAAGAAATTTAATTTTATTCTTCGATATTAAGTTATGCTGGTATTATTGTAAAATGTTTGACTCAGCGTGACGAGCGACGCGGACGGACGCACGTTTAGCAATCAATTTATTGGTCAAAAGGCGGGTAATCAACAAAATAGTTTTTTTCAGCGCAAGGAGGTATTCACGCTTTAGAGCATGGTCAGCTCCATAATTGCGTTTACTATATCGTTGTTATTGTTCTTTAGAGCCTTAATGGCCTTCGCACGCGTTGTATTTGCTTGTACGACTACCAGTTCAATGTCCTTTTCATCGACGCCCGTGTCGTCCACCTCCTCCTCGTCTTCCTCTGCGATTGGCGCCACCGACGTTGTCTGATTAATAAGGTCAGAAGCTCCAGCCGATTCGGGTGCCTTAAACTTCTCAGCGGCAGCAACTTGGGCCTGCTGCGACAAATCTTCGATCTTTGCTTCGCCGAATACAATGTATGTGTCACTATGGGGGTTCTTGTATACCTCCGGGTTGTTGATGACGAACAGAATGTTCTTCGACTTACGGATGGTTACACGATTTACGCCCTGGATTTGTTTCAGACCCAACTTTAGCATTATTTTGCGCGCCTTTTTCTCACCCCGTGATTGCTTGGCCTTGGACACGACATCGATAGGCAGACCGGTGGCACCGCCGCCCAACTGTGTGGTGCCTGCACCGGCTTCTTCCAAATCTGGGATGGTGTCATCCGAATCGCTATCACTACCATCATCCTCCACGCGCACATCCTCGGGCTTCGCCTCAGCCGACGTAGAGGGTGCAGCCTCATTCTTAATTTCAGTGAGTTCAGGCATGATTAACAGGTGCTAGAAATTAAGAAAACAATTTTATTTGCAGTCAGTTTTAATGAATCTACGCTTAGAATAAAATAAATTAAAACCGAACTGAGCCACTCCGTAATCTGCAATCGATTTTCCAACGGGAAATATCTTGTAAATTACTGCATAAGAATGCTAAACTAATATAACAATATTTTGGCCGGTAAATGAACTTAATTATTTTCTATATCATCCTCCTCCATAATAGTGGATGTAACTTGAAATTACCGATTATTTTCCCAGAAAGTTGTCGCCGGATTGTAAAACGAATTACACGTTTTCAAGAGAGCTGAGCAAGGAGTCGATAGTTCTTCCCAAATTTCGATAGCCTTTCATTATACACTTATCGACTATGTTTCATCACCAAACTATTCTTACCAAAAATTGGTCGGCACAGCATTCAAATCTGGGAGAGGGCCCGATTCATCTTGATTTATCTTTTCTTTAAACTTATCGTCTATAGTATACACCTAATTCTGTTTTTACACGGTCTTTTTTTTACACAATTTTGATATAACACTGTTAGAAAATTAAAAATTTAATATATATATTTCTTTAAAGTTAAGGAACCAATCACTTATTTCTGCATATGATCAATGTCTTTTTTACACGGTTGTTTCTGGAACCAATCTACATACACATATATATTGCGTATTTTTCGGAATGGACCAAATTAGTTTTTATTTGGTAGTTCCTAAAGAAACTTTTCGGCAAATAAGTCGGAAGAGAAAAGCCTTAGCCCAGTTGGAGAGGGAGAGACATGTAAGACCTACGTACATACATACATACATACATACATATCTTTTTAACTATGAAACTATGAAGGTCATCAAAAATTCAATTTATTTTCAGATATTGTAAACAGTTGCAATTGTATTTAGTTCGTTACTTAAACGATATTTTTTGTATTTGTGTTGAAGCGGATGCATTCGATAGCACGCCAGAATAATATTCGCGGTCTATCAAAAGCTGACTGCTATAATATGCTACAAGGCTGAAAGAGTTCGTAACTAAAATTACAAAAACTAAAAGATAAACGCTTTAAGAATGCAGTAAAATCATTTTCTTAGAGCCTAATTGATATTAGTTTTGGATACAATTGAATTAAATATAAGGATTTCGGATACATGAAAAAATCAGCATTAAGATTCTTATGCGATAATTTAACGGTTCAAATTTTTTACATCAGTCGAATATGAATATTATAATTAGCAAACTTATTAGAAAGCCTAACGAAAAATGGAAGTTCTTTTGATAGATTTATTTTTTCAGTGGAAAATGTGTAGAATATTACTTGTGCGGACCTAATTTAGAAATTAATAACATACCATAACTTCCTTTGATCCAATTAATTATTCAAGAACTAATGCTCAAATAAAAAGCCATCTCTGCTCTTAACGAACTAAATAAATATAACGTGGCAACTGACAACAATGTAATTAGTTTCCAATTTAATTACATACACAACCAATTGCCTTTAACCTTAATTACAGTTTGGCCAACAAGCATTGATGACATGGACATGGATACCAGGATAGTAAGGGTGAAATGTCACAATTACAGGTAACTATAAACGGCGGCCTGTTGGCTAGTCCTGCCGCCGATATTGGGAGTGGGCGTGTCAATTGTTGGGTAAACACAGGACAGCTTCGTGTGCTGCGGTTAGCGTGACCATATGTTCTCATTCACATTTCTGCCCAATGCCCACCAACCCGTTACCCATTGAATTTAATTTTTTATTTGCACAAGAACAATACAAGTATATGTAATTTGATGGCCGTCGGGGGTAAGCAGAAGCATGACCAAGTACCAAATTTTGAATTTCAAATTAAAAGCAAAGCAGCCATTTAGCAGAGGCAGAGGCGCAGTGATTACATGTCTGGGTAGAAATTTAATTATTTTCATTTTATTTTGTGCGCATTTTTATTCGCTGCAAACAAGTCGGCAGCAATGCGAATTATTTGCAACAATTTGTCAGTAAATAATTTCGATTTGTGCCTCGTCTGTGAAGGCAATAAAAAAATCTTAAAAACGCGAGCGCACAGACCTAGATGATGACGAGGGGAGCAAAGATACATGTATGTACATTGTCGTATATATTGTATCTTTGTAGATCCTACATAAAGCTATGGCCAGGGCAACACCCCGTGTGTCAGCAGTACTCTGATTTATTTGAGCGCATGAAACGCTTCGTTGCTTTTCGTTAATTTGAGCGTTTTCCGCTGTTCAAGAAATTATTTGCCCGTCCTGCGCATGCCAGCACCAAAGTCCCCAACAGAAGGGATATACATATCTACATACACACATATGTATATAAGTATAATGTACACATTTACTTATGTATGGCTTTGTGTGTGAACAAATATTTGTATGTCTATGCCAAACACAATTGTCAATGTGCCAAAGTAAAAAATAATTTTAAAAAAGTTGATAAAAATTCGCCGCTTGCGCCAAAAACAATCATAATAATAATCGCTGACGCGCATAATTATTGTAATTTATTCAATTGTCGTTTTGGCACAAACAAAAGAAAACGAATCAAAGTTTTTAAGCGATCGTAAAATATTTTTAACACTCAAACGTGACAAAATGGCGTGACTTTAGAAATTAATTTAATTGGTCATACCAAGTTTTTTCATAAGTAAAACTTTTGCTCAATTATGACCAATTAGGCAGACCAACAACATTGAAAACCGAATATAAAATTCAATAAAATGAATACAAATAGGCAATTGTTTGCGATGGGAAGTGCGAGAAGTGATTGGCATATTAAATAGGTCGTTGAGTGAATGCATTTATGTCAAATTAAATTAGAAAAAAAGTTTTCGTACATCTTAAAAATTACTTGTTATAGCTACATATAATTATTAAAAAAGGCATCTGACTGATATGAAAATAATCTAATGGATTATACATAGTTAGTGAGTTTTTGCATACTACTTGCTATATACAAGTATGAATAATTTGTACAACTATTCATTTTCCTAATAAAAATACATATGCTTGGAGTAATCATTTTTAATGTAATTTTAAAGAAATACTTATTTATTCATTTAACTTCTTGCTTTAAATTTGCTTCAGGGTGTACCGAATACGGAAAAAATACTTTAACATATACAAATTGGTTTCAATGCTTATGTTAAAAAAAGGTATTAGGCCGTAATAATTAAGCAATATTATAATGAAATAATAGTATATTGTAGTATAGTATATTTAAATAGAAATTGAGTGCAACATTTTAAGTCTTACATTCAAGTTAATCTATGTGTTTCTTTTAGAAAAAAAATACTACTGGTTGCAGAAAAAAATATTTATATTTTGGATAACAATTATTTCTGACTTTAGAAATTGACGGATTTCTTATTTATTTATATTTGTTTTGTTTTTATAATTATAATTTGTTTTATTTTGTGAAAATTCAACATTTTTTTTTTACTAACAGGATATGTGGAACTTAAATTAAAAATTACAATTTAATTGAATTTTTTATGAAACTATATTATTTAAAATATATTTTGTATTTTATTGGGAAATTTATGGAAAATTAATTTAAAAATAAAACTCAGAGTATAATTTTAGAAAACCTATTCTTATTCAGTGAAATTCTGCATCGTATTCATTTCATTAAGCCTTTTCTAATTAAATATGAAAAATGCTTGAAGTTAGTTTCCTTATGGTGAAAAGTGTTTTGTTTTTCCAATTTTTTCTAAGTGAAAATGTATATGCATTCAAATATGGTTTATCATAGAAGCTAAAAAGCACTAAAAAAGGTATTATTACAAATTTTACTGTTTATTCAACAGTAGAGCACAAACTCTAATATAAATCAATATACATTTGTGTTTGCAAAATTTGTAATGCAAAAGACATACTTAGCGGGGGTTCTAAGGATCATTAGCAGCATTGATGGAGCAGGTTATCGTCACGCCCGAAATTGGGCAATGTTTGAATTTACGAGTAAATTGGTCACTAATATGCCACGGGAGACTTAGTAATGTGTACTATATGCTAGTACTATATCTATATTTAAATGCTATAGTCACCCATAGCATTTGTCGAACGACAAAGTCGACGTCGCATTAATGGAAGGGCGGTCTATTGTATGGATAGTCTGATTATCGCACGACTCGAGCAGAACGCAATTAGGAAAGCTCCACCACCACCACCACCACCACCACCAACACCACCACAGTCAAGTGCTACATACAAACAAACACACACATATATTTAACATGACTACTTATAGATGGACAGACAAGTGTAACCGGTCTGCTTTATAGCGCCAATTAGCGCCAGCCAATGAAAAATGCTGAGTGCGCGCACAGACACACACATTGGCATGCGCCATATTGGATTTGTTGTGCTCAGAGGCTCAGAGGGCGGAGCCACGATTCGACTCTGTGTATGCGTGTTGGTGGTGCTGGTAGCTGTGGTGGTGGTTGTCCATCGTCAGCGCCGTTGGGTGCAGTCGTGCGCGCCTTCGAGTACGTGACATGTCTGTCTCAGGCTGATGTTTCAGTTGCGCGCAGATCTTTGAACGGTTCACTGGCTCGTAGCGTGTGTGCGTCGTCAAAGAAAATTATTACCAAAAAAAAAAAAAAAAGCATTCGATTCGTGGTCGGACTATCGATCTCATTAGGTAGTGAGTGGCCTTTGTGTGCTTGCCAAGCAATTAAGTTAAGCTGCCATGGAACGCGCCGCGCTCATGAAAAATGAAAGTGTCGCGAATGTGCCATCATCGGAGACCGCCCCGCCGACAAAGCTCAATACCAAACCATTTCCCAAGCCCTTCTCAATCGAGAGCTTAATATCAAACCAAGCCCCTGCAGTGCCCACGTCCCCTACAATAGGAACGGCCGCCGAACAGGAACAGGAACTCAATGCACGTGCCATGGTTGCCAGCTCAGCGCTGGGGCTCACACAATTTCCACTCTACAATCCCTGGCTGCATGGCTACTTTGCTCAAAATCATGAGCGACTAACACATCTCATTGCCGGCGGCTGTTATTTGGGTGCACCTTTTGGTGGCAAAGACCAGCAGCCGCAGCAGCAGCAACCACCAGCGCCTCCACCTGCCTTGGACAGTCTGAGTCCGACAAAGTCATCAGTGTCCTCGGAAGCTGAAGCTACCCACAGATTAATGCCGCATCCTTTGGAAGCCCAACTGCACACACGTTTCCTGCCCTTCAGTGCTACCAACGGCCCGTCTGAGTCAAGCTATCCCACTCTAGGGGATCATTTGCTGCTGCGTGCCCAAAATGAGCTGGCGGCAGCTGCAGCCGTCGCTGCGTCTGGCGAACTGAGTCCACGGCGACGTCTAGCGGAGATAATGAACCAGGACTATGTCCATAATCTTAGCGTGCATGCCCGGCTTCAGCACATGGCCGCCGTTCGTGCGCAGGAGGATGGCAACGGGAATGGAAATGTGTCGGAAAGGTTACAACCCACGTCAATGCGGGGCTCACCTATCAAGTCAAACAGTCCCGAGCCGGCGGTGGATGTTGGCATGGATGAGGATTACGAATGCAGCGGTGATTCTTGCAGTGACATCAGCCTGACCATGTCACCGAGCACTTACAATGCTGAACTGGACAAGAGTCGAGGTGGGTTTGTATATTAAGTTGCATATATTATTACCTTTTAAAGAACTTTAGTTTGGGTTTCTAATAGATTAATATATTGTACCTCTGAAATATACTTGTAGTGTAAAGTGTTTCCTGAACTATATTCTTCCATCCTTGAAGAGTTTGAAGAAGTCCAAGAGATTTCAAATTAAAAATTGTTCACTGTTTTTCCATCTTTGTGGTGGGGTCTTTAAATTGGCAAGAATACATAAAAAGTATTAAGTAAATTCTAAAAGTAGACTTTCAATACAAAAGAATTATTTATAGTTGTAGGCATTAAAATATTATCGCTTTGAAACAATATGGATTATCTGTCTGGTTAAGGTAAATATTACTTAAATTGTTAAGCGAGAAGGATATGTTAATTATATTTTTGTAAGTTTTAAAAGTTTAATTTGGTGATTCAGAATCAGCGAACGTTTGTTATCGAGGACTAGCATATTCTTATGTATGTTGTTCGCTCCATAAAACAATTTAACTTTGTAAAGATGCTTAACGGTTAAATATTTTGAAGTGGTCTTGGTTCTTAGAAATTACATAATTTCTGTTGTTTTTATGGTTTGGTTACGTGGATCTTCCAATCTTTATTCCAAATGGTTAGACTGATAATCCACTCGTAGCCCTTTTTTTAGGCGAGATGGACAGCTTCTTAATAGGCGCTCCATTACATTTGTGGCCTAGAGTAACGTTCTCATATTAATTAAAATGAAGCTGCCTCGTAATAATTGAAATTAGCATAAAATGCATTAAGATCCAATGTTTGGTGTCAATCAAAAGTAGAAACTTTTCAACTCTTGCGCGGACACTCAGACACTGAGACACACGCGCCCGTTCGTTCGCTCAACAATAGCATCAGAATGGAACTGACATTTTGACAAACGTAACGATTTAAGCGTTGAAATGGATAAGCACGGGGCGACAGCACATCATAATCACCATCATTATTGTCATCTATGCTTAACACTCTGTTTGTGGGCAGAGTTTGGCGCCCCAGAATGTGCTAGTGAAAGCATTTAAATCAATTTGGCAAACGTCGTGGAACACTCAAAAAGCGCAACAAATTTCCAAATTAAATATTCATAACGATGACGATGATGATGTTTGTGGTTGTTGTTGTTGTTGCTCAAATCTTGGGGTGAGCAAAAAAGCTGTACATTTTACCCCCAACATTTTCATTTGTGGATAAACGGATGCTGAGGTCTTGCACAAATAAATCAGTGACAGCGGCCACATGCGAAGCGTGTAAGTGTTAAAAAAGCGCTTAAGCGAAACCCAAAATTACCAAGAGCCCCTGAGCCACCCCGGGGGATGATGATGTGAGCCATTGGCACCACCACCACCACCACCCCCGCGAACCGTTGACTCAATGAAACATTTCGCTTTCACGCTCAACTTAAGTCACCGCACATATATATACATATTAAGTTTCAAGTGATGTCTTCTTGTTGACGATCTGGAGGTGGGGATGAAAGGGGAAAGGTTTTGGTAGGGCATGGGTCGAACAAGTCAAGTGCTGCCGTCACATGGACACATGCATATACAAGTAGTAATAAATACAGATATGTGCCACAACTTATGATACAGCCCATTTGCGCCAGAAGTTTAACTTGTTATGGACTCTCCAAATGGGCCCTGCTTTTGGCAGCATGGGCGTTGGCCTCTTCAGCTAAATAATGCATAATTTGTTGACAATCTTTACAGCCTACACGAATTCGGACAGTGAGGATTGCAGCGACGACGAGGGCGCCAGCTCACGACACGAAGCTGGAGGCGGTAAAGAGTCTAATGGGACTGGCGGCAGTTCTAAATCACGCCGACGTCGCACAGCCTTCACATCCGAGCAGTTGCTCGAGCTGGAACGCGAATTTCATGCCAAAAAGTATCTCAGCCTCACGGAACGCAGCCAAATTGCCACAAGTCTGAAATTGAGTGAAGTACAGGTAAGACAATGGACAGGTCATAATTACTGAAAAGCTTTAGGTATTAATGGGTGGTATTAATATTATACATAGTTGTTTTTATAATGAATTCTTTATAAAAAAAAACTTATTTAAGACGGATAGCAAAAAAAATTTAATGGTGGTTAAACTTCTGAAATCATATTTGGAGTTCTATATTTTTCATGCATATTAAAATGTATATGTAGCTTTATTAAGCTATTCGAATATTGATGTTTTAAATCTAGCAAAATCATCATTAAGCAAAGTTTTTGAATACCGAAAACTTTAGTAAAGTTAAGAAAGATTTATTAGAGACATCATAAAATTCAAAGCTGCCATTAAGCAAACAACGTTTAGAAGTAATTTGCATTCGTAATGTAAATTAATTTGAAATCTAAAGATGTTTAGCAACTTACAAACTTTGCGAGAAGAAAAATTTTATTCCTGTTATATGAATCAATTTAGATGAAGTCGTTGCTTTTTTCCATATAAAAAAAGTACTCTATCTATGATAATTTCCTGCACATTTCAGGTGAAAATCTGGTTTCAAAACCGACGCGCCAAGTGGAAACGCGTCAAGGCCGGACTTACCTCACATGGTCTTGGTCGCAATGGCAGTGCCGGCACCAAAATTGTAGTGCCCATACCGGTACATGTGAATCGGTTTGCCGTACGCTCGCAACACCAGCAGCTGGAGAAAATGTGCCTCAGCGGTCCCAAGCCGGATCTGCGCAAGAAGTTCCCAACGGAAGCGATTAGCGGTTTTGAAAAGTTTAATGGCGGCAGCGGCGGTGTGGCGACTAGTAACGCTGGCGTGGCAAGTGTAACAACCGGAAGCATGGGTGTGGGCCTGGGAGTTGCACCCATTGGGCCGTCGGCTCTTATGGTTGGCTCTAATGGCCTCCCATCGGCCTCATTGGCACTGACGCGCAGCATTTACTGAGGCTAAGCAAAGCTTTACTTTTCTTGGTCAACAAAAATTGTTTTCTGTTATAGATACTATTAATGCTCAACTTTCTTGTATATAGCCCAAGCATGATCAACACTTGGCGCATAAATAGGATTAAAAAGATTTGTAAATAATAAAAAATATATACAAAATGATAATGCCACTGATCCACTTTATAATTATTGATTTGAAATTGCTGAATCAATTAAAAGGAATAATGGTTTCGGTTTTGTATTTGGCCAAGACACTCATATCAGTGTTGTCTACAAATATCATGATTTTTGTTGTTCCAGATTGTTCCGGATTTATTATTTAAGAAATAATTGATTTATTATTTTGGTAGATAGAAAAGGTAATGATCTTAAAACCACATTAATTAGTTTAGCAATTCCTTTTCAAGAGAAATTAAAGATATGTACATATATAGTATATGTATAGTATGTATCGCAATTGGGTAAACTTTGAATGTTTTGTGAATGATCTAATCAGGAAATATTAACAGCTTATACTTACAAGCTCGTAATGTAGGTAGTGACAAGCAGAATTTTTCATAAAGGATAGCCATGCCATCTCTCTACCCGAATGAACATCTTCTATATCTTATCTGTTATTGTTCTACAGCTGAGCACACCACACTTGGTGTGTAGACTTCTCCCAAAACAAATTGTTTAAAAATAATATGAACTATCAATGCAAAAATCAGTCATAGCAGCAAAAAGTTTTTATTGTTAGCAATATGTATATAGAATATTTAATTTATTTAATATATTAAATTATGCACTAATTATGCGATATATAATAGGAACTGCCGTCACTCTAAATAGTGCAAAATTTTTTTTTATTTTTCTATAACTAAATAATCAGGTATTTATTATATTTTTTTTTTTTGACAATGCCTTACTTTTTTATGCAGTATACAAATCGAACTATAGCTATAAAATGATTTTAAGTCATAGAGTTTCTTACTAAAAATGTTAATTTGTTTCAAAGCTAAAGCTTACTAATGTTTATGCCGTCTATGTTGAATATGAAACAAACACATTGTATGTACTTGTATGTAATACACATACATAAGTACATAGATGATATTATTGTTCTTATAGTCACTTATCAGCAGTTACAAAAGCGGAGTGCTGCCCCCACGTTGGATAACCGCAAACATAAATCGGAAAAATGGCCGAGCACGCCCCAAAGTCAGAGTCACACACACGCATACATATGCCATATATTTTGGGCCACTTAAGAGGCAGGAAATTTTCGGTGTCAATTGGAACAATTAAACTGCCAATTTGTGCGATTTAACACGGACATTTACACAAGGCATCGAGCTACATAGTTGGAAGTGTTTGGCTCTCCAGGCTTTTTAGACGCTGCTCACTCGCTCAGTGGCGTGCATAATTTTTGGTAATTTAACGCACCAAATTGTCGCAAATTCAGGATCACTTCCCTTAGGGGCACACACTCACACACTCTTATTTCTCTCTGTGATGGCAAACAATCACTCCAGGTGTCTGGTATGTCACGCCTTTCCAGCGACGCATTCACAACGAGGGCGCATTGTGACTTATTAGCTTTGTGAGGCCCTCGGAGAGAACATTTGTCGAGCCTGCAGGATCTGTTTTGTGTGTGTGCGTGTGTGTGTGTGAATTTTTAATTGCATTAGCGACTTATTGGCTGGCATAACCCGCCTGAAAAACGTAGATGCGACAATTGACTTTTGTTTGACTCGCTCTCTAATTGTGCGGCTGTTCCCTGACTGCCTGCCTGCCTGCCTGCTGGCTCGACAATTTGCAAAACTCACACAAGCTGCCAGGATGTGCTCGGAAACCACCCTGGAAATGTGCGCCGCACAACTGTAAATGGGGGGAACACTGTGCGCAGCACCCTCGTGGGTCTCGCTTACAGTTTTATGTTGGGACACGCCTCCAAGCATGAGTTTTTATTATTGTAACACTTTGCAGGCAATTTGTTGCCGCTGCTGCCTCTGATGCTGCGCTACTGCTCTTTTATTGAATTGCGGCAAGCGAACAAAGTGTTTTGGGCATTTGGACTTCGGCTCGAAAGGCTGCTGACTACCCTACAGAATGCTTAAGAATTGGAAAAAGGTTGCTATAAATTGTTTAATATAAAGGTATTGTATATAAGCTTTTCATTGCTTTTTTTCGGTGTTCCGGAAGATTAGTTGTAATTGAAGAACATACATATGTATTTATTTTTTTTAGTTAGTTTAGTTAAAATCATCGTGTACTATATTCTTACGGAAACCAAAACAAAGCAAGTACCTGATAAGTTTATTAATGAAACTCACTCTAAACTTTATTTATGGCAAATAGATAAAATTTCTTCAGCATCAGCTATATAGCCTTTGGAAAAGGATTAAACGGAACACTTTCTGAAACATACGAACATTCCAAGTTAATTTTTTCTAAGTTAAACAACGAAACCAAACAGAATCTGTATAAAAAGAACGGTAACCTTCATGTGTAGAGCGATCGAGAGTCGTTGAAACAGAAACTACTGCTGTTCATAGTGACTGTAAAATTTCCAATTCACTGAGATTTGTTCTTACACCGTGTGTAATACACAGCGAGTACTTTGTGGCCTGTGCCGTTGAACACTGCTGTTGGCCTTTTGTTGTAAATTATATCGCCATTAATTACGCGCGGATTAATGTCGCGCTGAGCAGTTAAACACCCATAATACACCCCGTTAAAAGTCACTTTAAAATCATTAAAAAATACAAATAATAAAAGCTGTGCCTCCTTTTCTGTGCTGTAGACTGCCACAGGAAACGTGTAGACTTGCAAATGTGTCCTCTGGAAAGAGGGGGTCATAGTTGAGCGCAAAAACTGGCAACCAAACTCAGGGTTTCTTATATGAAGACTCATAAATCAAATCGAAATGCTTGCTGTCATAATTTGTCATGAGGCGTGGCAACGCCTTCCTTTTGCGCGTTTAACTTTGCATATTCCGTTGGCCAGCCACATGTGGCAACTTATTGTTGTCCGCGCATAGGCTAAACACCACATTGAAAGAGCGGCATTAGCAAATTACGGATCATTAGTGTGCATTTGTCAGAAGCAAATATTAAAAGCTGCAACTTCAACTGCTAATGCCACAGCTACTGTCAATGAAAATGCAGCGTGCCACGTTGATCAAATGCCAGTACTTGACAGCCGCCTCCAAAGACAATCAGCGGCAATCAAACGAAGCATGTTAGCGTCTTGTAAAAGCATTGAGAGGTACACTAAGGGAAAATCCAATCTAAAATCAAATATGGTAGACATAAAGGAGCGACAACTATAAGACAAATTGAAACACTATTTTTTAAAGAGACACAACATTTTGATCCTTTTTTAAATATTATGTTGTAATTACAAGATTTAATCAAAATCAATATTCATCAGCAATGAACAACTGCAGTTTAAAAATATTTGTTGTTTGAAGATCTATGTAAAGCCATTTACTTTAAAAACATATAATCATTTCTCTAAAAGTTTTATTTTTACATCCATAATTTTCCTAAGTCAGAAATTTAAAACCACATACCCCTTTCAAATATAGAAAAAAACGCTAACATTAACATTCTTGTTTAAGAAATATATATTTTTTTACCAAAAAAAAAAAAATCGTATAAAAACAAACTAAATATTGACAGTAAACAAAAGTCAAGAAGTAGTTCCTTAAAGGCAAAAGTAAAGTAATTTGTAAGTAGTCCCATAAGGTAACGAAATAATGTAGTGTAATTAGTTTTAAACATATGTACATCTTCCCTACAATATAAATACAAAACAGTTTTACAAGAAAATATATCGTATATGCATATGCCTAAATATGTACCTAAAATTTTCCAGAATCTGATGACGTTAAATATCAATAGATATTGATTTTAAAGGGAAATTTGAAACAGTCCAGAATGTATTATAGGTTACGCCGTTTCCTTTTCCCTATGTGTAAAGCCTGCCATGCAATCTGTCAAGACTGGTAAGGCACCCAAGAAATAACCATGTTAAGGTGGTAGCGGTTCGTTGTCATGCCGCCGCCGTTGAAATTCTGTAGAAAACCGAAAAATGCACTCACGCACCTGAATCGCTAATCAGTCGCTTCGAGTCGATTGGAGTCGATCCGTCAGTCAGACAACGGCGGCAGCTACTGGCGGCTCTGCCAATGCATATTTGTTGTCTCCTGCATTAATTAATTACAATTTTATGATTTTATTAATTTCCAACCAATATGAGAATGCAGGCGGCTGGCTGTTTCTCCTCATCGATGTCGCCAGTCGGGTTCTGTTTTCATTGTTGTTGCTGTGTGGATGTATGTGTCACCAACATTATTCCAATTCCCATGGCTTATGGGCACGTACGATGGGCTCGTAATAATAATGAATGTAAATTGCCGCAATGAACGACTTAATGTCTTAATATTTTATTTACAATGCATTTCATTTTGGTTGGCTGACTGCGTCGCCGGCACGCCCACCTCCACCAACGCCCTCCCTCTGCCATCGGCAGTGGCACAAACAATTTGAAAGTAATTATTATCATAGCCCAGGGCCATGTTTGCACGCGTCTGTTGTTGTTATTATTCTGCCACAGAAAATTATAGAAAAGCTGAAAAACAAAAGTGCCGACTACATGTGCACAGCTTATTAAATACTGAAAAAATAAGTAATTTCGTAGCACAATTGTTTAATTTTGTTGTTCAGAAAGACTTTTCTCGGCTGCACTCTTTGTTGTTGGCCTACAAAGGAAGCCATTTATCAAAATTTGTCAGCGTTTTCGTGATAGACAATTAAATATGAATATATTTTCGATTTTCCCAGGTTGGTGTACTAAGGTTATTAGATTTTAAATTATCACAAGCGGGTGTCTATTTGTCTACCCACTTGACGATCTGGCGGCATTTGCAAAGATTGGAAATATTGAACAATACGATTTCCAGATATTTATACATAGTACTTTAGTTTTGATGTTTATCCCCAGCTGTGATTTGATTTCATTATTCAAAAGTAGTGTGATGGGAAAAGATACCATAGACGTGCAGTTTCCCTGGATTTTATAATAACATTACGAATTGAATTAGTTTACTGGATTTTTATTTAATTTTTTCATTGCTTACAATTATCAAAACTGGTCATAAAACTGCTGTAAATTCATAAAAGTATTTAAAATAAATTGTTAATTAAGAGTTCAAAATAAGCTTAATTACCGATTTGGTTTCATTTTTAAACTGAATGGGTAGTTTTCCATTTGGTATCAAATGTTTGGATAAATTCTTAAAAACTCATGCCACTGGTGCTACTAAATCAGAATTTTTGATCTTTTGAGTACGTAAATAATACATGTTGGCAATACTTATAATTTATATATTTACTTTCCATTTGTACAAGTAATTGATTTACATTCTATTAATAATCGATATTGAGCTAAATAAAATGGAACATATTTTTCCTATACAAGTAAATCACATGATTTAACAAAATATATTTAAAAATTGAAAGTATAAAGTGCAATAAATATTTATATATTATATACTTTAAGTTAGATATGTTTTAGATTCGACCTCTATATATAAGTCACAAGTTACTCAATTTCAGGCAACTTGATTTATGAAATCCAGCCTGGTGCGATTTTATATGCATTTGGTAAACAAATTTGCATAAACCTTCAACCGTAAGGACATTTATCACTGCCACAACGGACTCATATCAAATCACTTCCGTCCGCCTACCGCCGCGCTGTGAGATACAAACCCAGAGCCTAGTCCGCAAAATGCACATAATAAACCAAATTTTGTCGTCTGCACGTACACACCGCTGAAATGAGAACCGAAATCATAGGACCATCCATGTTCAATTGTGTGTGTGTGGCCCGAAAATCATTTAGGATGAATTACGAGGCCACCGCAGAGACGACGTGCTTACTGCGGTCAGGTGTGTTGGCCGGGGAGGGCAAAAGGGACTGGTAGCAAGGACACGTCCAGATAAGAGATAATTGATCAAATGTTCAGATACGATTTTTTATTGCCTAGATTTCTCCACTACAACCATAAGAAATTAGAATTCTCGCCTCACTGGCTGTGGTAGGGTAATGCAAGCGACCTTATTGCAGGAGTCAAATGTAACGACTACCCGCTGTGCGCTGGACGAGCAGTGAGAGGAGGAAAAGCAATCAGCGTAGATGTGGCGACTAAAAAAATAAACTGCGGACGCAATTTATGCCACAGCATCCGGCAACACCCTCACAAAAAAAAAAAAACAAGAACTGAGGGAACTTGGCCAAAGCACAACACAAAAACTTCACATGTCTGTGGAAACTGGTGAGTTGGCGAAAACTCGCAAATAAATAAGAGTAAAATAATAATAAAAAAAGAGAATATGTTCAATGCACAAAAAGCACATCATCATCATTGCCAAAGTTCAGCGCATTGTTCCCAAAAAAAAAAAAAATAAATGCAGCAACACCCACTCCTACACATACATACACTCACACAAGCACTGCCTGTCTGTCTGGACGCGCTCTAGTTCCGCCCACTGACTTCCGGCCACGTAAGTGCCAACTTAGTTTGAGTCTTTTGCCATTGTTGTTATAATTTTAACGCTCGCTCAATCTATGTATGTATGTATATAGCCTTGCCTAATGTGCCGAAATGCGACAGAGTGGGTGGCGCATGTCCATAATTACAAACCACCCAGCATGCCATCTCCGCCCATGGCTATTTCCAGCAGTCGAAGTTAAAAAAGTGATGACGTAGTTTGTGCCACAACTGAATTGTTTGGCAACGCCCACCGCTCTCGGCAGGCGGTCGCATTTTGCGGTAATCATCCCAAGGGGAAAACTGTACCGTTAAGTGCTGTTTGGATGAGTGGCAGAAAGAAACCCGTGATAAAATAAAATATAAATAAATGCATAACTATGTTCACGGAAAACTACATACATCTATTTTAAATTGCAACTGTCGCAACAATGAGCTTTTGTTACAATCAACTTGTATGGAGTTATGTAGCAGTGAGCTTAAATAGACACTATTCGAATTTGGCGCGAATTAAAAACATAAAACTATTAGTGAAGTTTCACAACTATCATTAGAATATTATAGACAATTTGAGTTCTTAAATTAGCCTCATTTTGTTTCTTAAATAACTAGAATAGCATTTGTTGAGCCTAAACTAGTTTTGACTAAAAATTTAGCTTAATTTCGTAGCAACAAAATGGCCAATATCTCAAAAGCTATAACTTATCACAACAATAAAGAAAATACTCAGTTTCTACAAACGTTGCACACAACGTCGCACAATCTTGGCCTTGTGTACAAACATGAAGCGCAGTAGGAAGATCACCAGTAAGATGCTTACACCATAGCCCACAACGAGAACGGCTCGTTTGCGACGGCGCCAGCGTTGATAATCATGCCAAGATTCGTAGCGGTTGCGAAATTGTGCTGGCAATTCGAATTTACTGGTTCGCGGGAAGAAAGACAAATAGAAATCCTCAAGCAGATGACGCACCAACGCATTATCTTCGCTCCTTTTAGCGTCCAGGTTATCATTGATACAGTTGAACTTGCGTGGATTACGGCGCAGACGGTCCAAAGATTCCACAACCTCAGTCACATTGGAGGTAAGCATCATAAAGTTGCTGTGCGCAGCTCTCTTTGGACTAACATTGTAATGGTATTTGGGGCGTACAGCGAAGTTGGCGGTTAAAGCCTCGGCCAGAATTGGACAGCGTGCAACTAGTTCCCTCGTAATAGTTGGCTGTTTAGTGGCACATTCTTTAATGAAAAACTCATTTTTCGTATTATTTACATTTATAACTCACCAAATTAGAGTCTTCATAGCGTTCATACACCAGAGTTGAATGCACTACCGTATTCGTTGGAGAATGCAAGCCCAAGCTGCGAGTACAGTTGTGGACCACCTCCTCGAAATAGCGCATTGCGGACCAGTCTAGTGGCGGCTGATACATGCGAGTCAGACAAGTGCGAACTTCGCGATCTGACCACGTTCCTGATCCATCCGTATCGAACTCATCAAAAATCTGTTCCACGCTCATTGTTTGCGTCTCGCTCATTAAAAAGGAATAGTAGGCGAAAGCGAACTGCAGATCCGTGGGCGCGCGAAAGCGTTGCAAAGCTGTTTCTTGGACTTGCTTATGAAAGCGTTGTTGCATCGCCTCTATAATGTCACGATCGAGTAAAAAACCTACATGAGCTAAAACATGACGCGCCTTAAAGCCATAGGCACGATTCAGCAGCATATTTGTAGCAATCAGGGAGTGTGAGTAGATATCGGTAGAAGATTTAAAATCGGACTTATGCAACATGTGACGCGGCGTTGCTGGTAACGTTGTGCTTCCTGTATCGCCAGTACCCAAATCAGGATTAAGCGATTTTAGCTTTTCCTTGTTGAAACGCTCCACAATGCGACGCAGTTCCACGAGGGTAGATACGTTTTTGTGACGCATCACATCCTTAAACTTTGGAGAGCTGCGCTTAAAGAACTTCTGTAGGCCCATGTATGGAAGTTTTAGACTATCTGTCTGCACTGCAGGCGCTGGAACGGGCGGGGATTCATGTTGCCCCTGCTGCACCTCGTCGCTTGTAGTAAAAATCTGAGAAGCATCACTGTTTTCATTGGCAGCATCGGTGCAGTCCCCTCCGTCATACTGACATGCGTCTATATTACAGTGCCGATCACAGGCACCATCTCCGATGTACGTCCACGGACAGTCTAGGGCGCAGTCGGGTACCATCCAGGCCTGGTAAACGCGCACGCCCTCCGCTTCGGTGTAAAGATCCTCCGGGTAAAGCGGTGCGCCAAGGAATATATCGTCGTTTAAGTACAAAAAACGCTTCGACAACTTTGGTATGCGATGCAGGAATGTCTCAATGGCAGCGCTCGAGAAGGTGGGCAGCTGATCTGGGTTCGGAGCCAGCACTTCGTGGGGCACCACAGTCACACGTTCATAGGTTAGATCCAGCCAGTTGGGTATCTGGCCGTTCGTAACTATGTAGACATGACGTACCCAATTGGCGTGCATCTCAAGTGAGCGCAGTGAGTATCGTAGCTCGTTCTTGTCATCGAAACGAGTAGGATCGTAATTAGGATCATACCGTCTGATGGACGCAATAAACTGCGGCTCCGAACCATTTACCCACGTGTAGACAACATCGATGGGCATGCAGGATTTGTCGCCGTAATTTTTGGCATCACTATCTGTTACCGGCAGAAGAGTGCCCGCCAACCACAGCGTGAGGAACAGCCCTGAGATTACTAGTAGCTGTATTTTGCGCCGCGACTGCGTTCTGAGTTGGTCAATGGCGCGTCGCATTTTCCGATGCCACGGTCGACGCCTCAGTCGCATTTTACACATATTTTCCAATCATTTTTATTAAAAACGCGCTTTTGTTATACATTTCTTCAACCATAAGAAAACATAACAATAACAACTCGAGCGCACAAGTAGAGATGCATCAATGCATTCGATAAGTTGTGGGTGCGCAAGTAATCGAATTACATTCGATAAATCGCGCTGCTATCGGTCAGCTGGTTGCACATCACATGACCTGTCATATGAAAAGTTTTCTCACTTTGACAGCGCAAATCGACGACGGACCGTGCAAAGTGGACGTTTTTCACGGTTTTCATTTGTAGTTTTTGTTAATTTTTGGTTCGTTATTCTTCACCTGATCTCTTTAGTTTGATTATGTTCAAGTGCTGATTTTATTTTTGTTTCGTTTTGGTTTTGCAATTAAGTGTGACGTCGAAGCAGCAGGAAGATGTTGTGGAAAATGCTGATTGCGTCTTTGTGCGTCATGGGAGTAGCCGTGGCCGAGCAGTCGCCCGTATTTCTGTGGGGAGCCAACAGGTGGGTAATTCTTCTTGCCATTGGATGCACATAACATATTTGAATTCCTTTTATAGCCTTGCAAAACCAGCACTCCGTTCAGTTCCTCAAACCGAGTTTGCCGACGAGATGGCAACGTTGTTAAATGATCACATGGTTGTGGCTTTCAAGGAAAATAACGTAAGACAGCTTTTACAATAAGTTTAGTTACAGGTTTAATTATATTTCTGTGCGTGTAGCTCATCAATAGTGACTTTCTGTGCGAGAACGACAAATCGGAATCCTGCTACGTCTACCTGCGCGGTGTTAGCCCAAAGAACTACTACTCCAATGTCCAAAATCCCACTGAGGCCTTGCGTTCTGTGGCTTCCAAGCGTGAACACAATACCATCGACAGCACCGGCCAGTTTGTGAGTCCAGTCAACTGCACCGTAGGCACCGCCCTCTTTGTGACCTTTGACGATGTCAAGGAAACACGCGCAGCTACCCTTGAGTCACATGGTAAGACAGTCTATTACAAATGTAAGCCCTCGTGCATTAGTTGCTTATATTTTGTCACTCCACCAGATGCCGCAATCTCCTCTATCAGCAAGCAATTTAATTGCAATGTGGCCTATCTGTATTTGGCCGCACCAACAACTTCACCCGTCGTTCAGAGACGTACCCGTCGTGATGTTAGTGACACAGCTGCTGTTACAGGTGGCATCAGGTGGACTAGCGGAAACCAATTTATAATATTTTACACCGCACTCCAACAGCAGCAGACAGCAATTCAAGTTACCGGCATGCAAATAACGAACTCTTCTACACCTAACACTCAGTTCTCAGTATCATTGCAAACTTCAGGACCGGCGATTACCTTCGATATTGTGCTTACAAGCGACGGTTATTACAACTTGGAAAATCTCCAATACAATAATATCGTATATCGAACAACTGGTATTAACGCGCCTACCACATTTTCGTATTTTTGCGGAAATTTAACGCTTGAGGCTAGCGACGGTAGCGCCAATACCCTAACCTTCTCATCGCTGCAGTTTCAGGCACCCTTTAACGCCGCCACCCCCAACGATTTTTCCTTTGGAGATGCTTGGCATTGTGTGGGTTTTGTTACACCCGCCATTCTAATGGGCCTGTTGGTTGTGGCCCTGTTATTGGGAATTATGTTCGTTGGAGTCTGCTGGATGATGGACATTAACACAATGGATCGTTTTGATGATCCAAAGGGCAAGACAATCACGATCAATGCTGGCGCTGAATAAGCACGCAGCCGCTGTCCTCCAGTGCAAACTTTTTCTTTGTTTCACAGTTTATGTTCAATTTATTCAATATTCATTCATTCCCTCTGCTAGTTCACCGTCTATCTATACATATATGTATACATATAACCTTGTCAATAACAAAACAATACCGTAAAAACCAAGGAAATTAGTTAAATTCACAATATATATATCATACACATGTAATTTTCGCCACCAAAAGCCAATGGATAATCAGCATCAATCAAATCTTCCGCTGGCTTTTTTTGTCGAAAATTGTTAGAAAAATTCGCATTTTTGCTTGCGACGACTTAATGCAGCTGCATTCGATGTTCTACTGCAGTATTTCACTTTATTTAGCCTATAAATGTCGTAAAATTAAAACTTAAAGAAAATACAAAACAAAAGACGCACAGTGTAGTTGTGTGCTTGTGTGTGAGATTGTTGGGGATTTTAGCTCCCATTTTTGTTTGCGATAATATGCGAAATAATTTATGCCTTTGTAATTTTATTTATCAGTCTATGTATGCGAAAAACAGACTCCAAATAAAGTTTTTCGATTGTGTTACAAACAGTTAACGAAATTGTCAATATTTTCGGGTCTTGGATGGGGCTATTGGCCGATATTGGATATACAAAAAGTCATTACAATGCCAGCATTCATTCTATATCGAAAATTCAATGTCTAGTATGTTAATCATGGTTAACAATTAATATGTGTAAGTCCGGGGTATTTCTACGATCTCTAAACAAAATTTGATGCTCAAAATAGCCTGATATTAGTATTAGTAATAAGTTGTTGACTGAAGTAAATAGCTGATTACTAATGATGAAATATAAAATATTTTTTAATAATATATTATCAAGTTTTAATGATTGTAGCACACAAAGTTCAAGATTTATAATATTAATTTAGCTTGTGGCCAAATTTTTTAAATACGCTTAAATTTGTTTTATTCCAGACTCACAAAACTATTTGTAAGAGATTGCTGCCAAACGTAAAACAAGAAAGGAATGCTAGGGTCAGCAGGCTCTTAAATACTCTGTGCACCCCACTAAAAAATTAAATACTATCCATTGGGTACAGGGTGTAAAAATGTAAGTAATTAAATTAATTAAATATAAAACACATACATAAGTGCTCATGTACAATTTCAACAGCATATGCGTGTTCTATGTGTGCAGTACAGAATTAAGTCAACGTAGCAGCAACAACAGCTGCGGACAGAGATTAGATTTATGGCTACAACTTCGTTAATATTTGACCTATCCTGACGAATCTTAACATGCGGGCACATAATCAATAACGGGATGTATTTACCACATTTGGGTACAGGCTATAAAAAGGTCTTTCTGGACCCATAGCTGTATTACTTTTTGTTATTTTAATATCAGATTGTTAGCATAGAAGTTATCGAGGGCCGATTAAGTTTAAATATACGAGTAAATATCATATCATTAAAAATACGCATTATCTGCTTAAAAGACATCATTTAAAATTTCATTCGAGCAAACAGGTGGACTTCGCCATATCAACTCGTCTTTTCTCAATAATAACTTACGTACTAAAATTTGGAGTCTGTAAGGCCCCCTTCTGAACACTACAAATTTAGGGTACCATTTGCTAGAGTACAAGAGAAACTATGAAAAAATACCAGCTCAAAATCATAGAGAGCTGAGTTGACCAAGCCGACTCTTATAAAGAGCTGCAACGGGGACGGCTATTGTAAATCTGCAAAAATGTGCGAAACTTGCCCACAGGAAAGCCGATGGATGCAAATATACACACAAGTAGGGAAGCTAAAGTCGGAAATACTGAAATACTCTGTACATATGATTAGAATAATTATAGACATTTAAAAAATTAAAACAAAATTTTGATCGATTTTACCTCTTTCGATATTAGAACTCACGTGAAGGGTGTACATAGCAATTGCGTCTTTGTGAGTGTATGCATGTCTATGCGTGTATGCATGTCTATGCGTGTATGCATGTCTATGCGTGTATGCATGTCTATGCGTGTATGCATGTCTATGCGTGTATGCATGTCTATGCGTGTATGCATGTCTATGCGTGTATGCATGTCTATGCGTGTATGCATGTCTATGCGTGTATGCATGTCTATGCGTGTATGCATGTCTATGCGTGTATGTATGAGCATGTTTGCAGTCAACCAAAGCACCAACATCAATAACAGCTGCGGGCACCGCTTGGGCAGCAATTATATTTATGGCTATAACTTCCTGTTAAATCGGTCTATCATAATAAAACTTGGCATACGGACACAAATTCACTAACTGTGGGGGGGAAGGCATAATGCACCTGGGACTTAAATTTGGGGTCTCTAGTTCTTATAGTACTGAGATATAGGCGATTATACGAATGTAAAATCAGAAAAACCCCCAAAGGGCGGAAAATCAAAAAAATAAAATAAACTTGCATAGCGTGCACACATAAGGCATCTTTGTGCAAGATTTGGTGTCTCTAGCTCTTATAGTCTCTGAGATCCAGGTGTTCATACGGACGGACAGGGCTAGATCGACTCGTCTTGGCATGCTGATCAAGAATATATATACTTTGTGGGGTCTGCCACGTCTCCTTCTGCCTGTTACATTTTTTAGCTCGCGCAACCCTAATATACACTTGTACATTTCATGCACAGAGTATAAATTTTTAAGAAGCTTATAACTTCTGATCCGAGTTTCTCCTAGCCTACTGGCTAGTAAAATATAATTGCTCGTCCTTTAAGTGTATAATTTAGTATCGTTTATTTTCATCGTTCACAATCATCCTCAGATTTTCGACTATTCGTGATTACAATATATCAAATATTGATTAATATTTATGTAGTTGAAACAATAATGATGTAAAAGAATTGGACAGGAAATCAATTCACTGAAATTCGATAGACTTCTTTGCCGATGTTATGGCACTGCGAAAGACGTGCGCTCTCTGCTCTCTCTCCCAGAAATGGCATTAACGTGTTCATCTCCGCAGTTGAAACGTTCAAGGAAAACATGAATGCGGAAAACGTTTTCTGTTTTTTATAATTTTTTTGTTTGTATCATCTTAATTTTTAGGTGTAGGTTGTTCTCATCTTGATTTATGTGAATTTGACGGCAACATTCAATTATTACGTGACTTTCGGCTTAGAAATAATTTTCATTTATTTTGCAAACTGTTGGTAATTGCTGCTTCATATCTACGATATAACCACATACTGCTGCTGTAACTATTACTGTTGCTGCTTAACCCTGGAAGGTAGCCATGAATTTCGTGACAATGTCCTTCAATTTGGCATCAGCAGCCTCGGAGATTTTGCCCTCCTTGGCGATTGTGTCCAGCAGACCCTGCTCGGTGGTCTTAATGTGCTGCAAGAATTCCTTCTCGAACTTGGTGATCTTTGAGGGATCCATCTTGTCTAAGTGTCCGCGCACACCGCAGTAGATGACAGCAACCTAGATGGGTATATGATATATGCATGGGTCGGAATTAATATCCCTTTTTGTCTGGAGGTAGGTGTGTTTGAACATACCTGATCCTCAATGGACATGGGCACATACTGACCCTGCTTGAGCAGTTCAGTAAGGCGCACACCACGGTTCAGCAGCTGTTGGGTGGCAGCATCCAAATCAGAGCCGAATTGAGCAAAGGCAGCAACCTCACGGTACTGAGCCAACTCCAGCTTCATGGAACCAGCCACCTGCTTCATGGCCTTGGTCTGGGCAGCGGATCCGACACGGGACACAGACAAACCGACGTTAATGGCTGGGCGGATACCCTTGTAGAACAACTCGGTCTCCAAGAAAATCTGTCCGTCAGTGATAGAAATGACATTGGTTGGAATGTAGGCAGACACATCACCGGCCTGGGTCTCAATCACGGGCAGAGCGGTCAGGGAGCCACCACCCATGGCGGGCGACATCTTGGCGGCACGCTCCAAAAGACGAGAATGCAAGTAGAACACATCACCAGGGTAGGCCTCACGACCTGGGGGACGACGCAGCAGCAGAGACATTTGACGGTAGGCGACAGCCTGCTTGGACAAATCGTCGTAGATGATCAGAGCATGCTTGCCCTTGTCGCGGAAGTATTCGCCCATGGCGCAACCGGAGTATGGGGCCAGGTACTGCAGGGGGGCAGCATCGGAGGCAGTGGCCGAGACAATGATGGTGTAATCCATGGCGCCGGAATCGGTCAAACGCTTCAACATTTGGGCAACAGTGGAACGCTTCTGACCGATCGCAACGTAGATGCAAAACAGTTTCTTTGACTCATCCTGGCCATCGTTGAAACGTTTCTGGTTGATGATGGTATCAATAGCCAAAGCGGTTTTGCTGTTGAGCGCCATGCGCATTATACAATTATTTGAGGTGGATTCATTTTTATTATCTGCTACTCACCCAGTCTGTCTGTCACCAATGATCAACTCACGCTGACCACGGCCGATGGGCACCAACGAATCGACGGCCTTGATGCCGGTCTGCATAGGCTCGCGCACAGACACACGTGGGATGATACCAGGAGCTTTGATACCGACACGGAAACGGTCCTTGGTGTTGATGGCGCCCTTGCCGTCGATGGCGTTACCCAAAGCATCGACAACACGGCCCAACAGCTCATCACCAACGGGCACGTCGACAATAGCGCCGGTACGCTTGACGATATCGCCCTGCTTGATGAGCTTGTCGTTACCGAAGACGACAACACCGACGTTGTCGGGCTCCAAGTTGAGAGCCATACCCTTGAGACCAGAGGAGAATTCCACCATCTCATCAGCCTGGATGTTGTTCAGGCCATAGACACGAGCGATACCATCACCAATGCTCAGCACGCGGCCAGTTTCCTCAAGATCGGCCTTTGGTGCAACGCCCAGAATTCTCTCCTCCAAGATGCTGGAGATCTCGGCACTGCGCTGTGTGCTGGCAACATGGAATTTACGGGCAGCGAGAGTGGCAGCTGGGTACGCGGCCTTGCAAGCAACCTGTAACGACAGATAACGGATTTCAGTTTGGCCAACTATTGCTTATGTAAGGAGCAGAGAGCGGCCGCGGGGTGCTAAGAATTGAATAACAGTATAGCTGTCTCACTCTGGCGCACGTAGCGTATCGTTCTCAATTTATGATTACGGTCAAAAGGATAATTTTTAATTAATTTATATTTATAAGTAAAAGTAAGTATATGGATTGGTCGTTGTTTAGTAGTTGCGTTGTGGTCCTCACACGAATTTTGAATTTGCTATCATCGATTTTCACTCGCATACATAACCTCAAAGCTGGTCGCAATGCACAGACTGTGTCGGTGGCTAAGATTTGTACACAATGTGGAAGCATCAAATTATGTAATTTTGCCAAAACCCAGAATATGCGTTTATTTATGATCATTTACGTTATGCGATCAGGAAATTGAATTTTTACATTTGCTTTGGAGTTCTACATTCCATTTATTGGCGATTATGTAACTTTTAGCGAGACACTGCACGGCGGCCGGATATTTTGGACACATTGCGTAACTCAGTTATAAGAGCCAAACTTATTAAAAGTTCCTTTTGAAGGGTTCAGTTAACTCTGTTGGATTATATTATATGCTGAAGTAATGCGTTTAACCATTAATTTAAATTTTCGTTTTTTGCACAAAATTCGCTTGCCAATTTGGTTGAACGGTTTTGTGTTTTATTAATTAAATAATACCTGTGCGGCCGCCTTCGGCAAGGTGCGTGCGACCGATGAAGCCAAACGAGCAGAAATCATCGACATTTTATATTTATTTTACTTTAATTTGCCGCAGAAACAAGTGAATTCCTACACCAACTGCTCTCTAAACTCGTATTTTTCACAAAGATGGTTCCCGTTCCAAATGGCACACAGTGTGTCCCTAACACATGAATAAATTCCTTAAAAACCCCAAACGCAAACCTTTGAAATTAGTATCTTTCTATCGAATGTCGGGCGGCGCTGCCACATGGGTAGGTGTAATATAAACGGGTATTTGTATATTTTTATTATAAAAAAAAGAAGAAAATGTTCTTCGAAAATTAATCTTTAAATTGACCATGTAGTTGATCTGGCACAAAACAATGAATGTATATTTTATACAATATAAAGTATACACCAATGCCGGCAGGAAATAATCAATTGATGAACAAAATTACTTTCATGCGCTCGTCTTCTCGTTGAAATTTTCATTTGGTATTAAGTATTCAGTCGGTATTTTTCCAGCTTACAAATATATATACCACAATATTTATCGGCTTGTTCGATATACATATTTTGGTGCTGTGCAACGTCAATAAATGTGGGTGGATATTGGTTGGTGGTATTTGGGGCTCTATGTTTCCTTGCGGTTGACCCGAAGGGGGCTGGAAGGAGCACACGAACGTTGTTACGAGAGCGAATCTCTACACAGAGGCGTTACACGAACAAATGAATGGCGGCAGCCACTAGTCGAAAAGGATGCTGTGTCCGCGAGTGTAACGGCACGGAATTTCAGTCCTAAAAAAAATTGGCAGGCAGAAGCTGTGTCAGTTCGCAGTCGGAGTTTGTTTGGTCCGGTGAACGCAAAGCCTCGTAAGGCAACGCTACGGAGACGCGGAGCAGAGTAGAATTAAGGTGAAATGAAAATGAAAAAGAGGACATGAGGATTAGGTAGTTGAATTCGTGGAAAAATATATGAAACTATTATTAAAGTGAACGCAAAAAGCGGCTAAAAATTAGGAAACACACATACTGATGCACATCGTGGCTGCAAGTAGGTAGCGGGATCTCTTCAAATGCGATTTGAATATTAAATAGTGTTGAGTGAATACACGATCCGAGATAACAAAGTTATATATTTAAATATGAAGCTTAGCTTTTCGATACCGCTTTGGAACTCAGTTCTATGTAATGCAACGAAAAAACATCTCTAAAAGTAAATCTATAATATAGCTACTTCCTCTGCCTGCCACGTGCTAATTCCACACTAGTTCAATGCACGCGCCACAAAAGTGAAGGCAACGCGAAATTGAAATCCCTAAAAGGATTAGCATTACATACACAACGGACACACTCTTTTATTCATACGCATATATACGTTTGTATGTAATAGGCAAAACAAAGATATGCCAATTATTTAAAACGAATATCAACACAAAAGGAAAATCCCAAAAATTTAAACTAAGCCAAAGCCGTAAAAAGGCAAACGAAAACGAAACGAAAAGCGTACAAAGAACGTTAACCACATCCAATCTCCAAAAATAAAAATAAAAAACCATACAAGAAAGTGCAAGCGCAAAACACAAAGTACAAAGAAGAAATCAGCAGTTAAAAACTGGAAGTTTGTGTTTGCCTTACACACGACGGCACACATACACATACCACATACACAGACGAGCACCAATACAACGATAGGAAGACAGCGACAACGTGTGCGAAAAATTTTGTCATCAAGCGCCACTGCCACACACAAAGGCAGCGGTTGCAAACCAAAAACTCTCCGGCAAACACACACACACATACATATATATATATAAATATATACAGACAGTTACGCTCGCACACGCACACGCACGTACTCACGCGCACATAGCGAGGCGCATAAGCTTCGCACTTGACTTGAACATTAAACGCAAACGACACATTGCCAGAAATCTCTTGCTGTGTTCTGTTTTATTTAATTTTATTTGGGCTCGCATAAAAAAAAAGTAAAAAACTCAAAGCCAAGTCTAGCTCGCACCTTGGCCATATTTGGTGTGTTCGGTTCGGTGTGCGTTGCACGTGTGCTCAATTTTTGACAGCTGTCAGTGCATCGCCCCTCCATTGCGGCATAGTTTTTACCGACGTCACAAGGCAAGGTCAGCGTCGCCGCCACAAGATGAACCATGAACATTGAAAAACGCCTAAAACGACAAAAAGCAAGCGTGTAGAAGGCAGGGAACGAAATAGCGGGACATAAAAACAGCGACAGCAACATACGGCACATGACAGCCGCCATCGCATCGTTATCCTTGCCGTCGTCGTCGCCATCGCCATTGCCTGTCCTGTCGCGTCGCCGCTTCGAAAATGTTTGAGAAATATGTCGCAACATATGTGCGTGTGTGTGAACAAGTGAAATTAAAATTCCCGCATGCTTAATATACCTCGCTCTTTACTCACATAATAATAGCACATACATATGTACATATATACATATACACACATTCCTATTGCCCGACTCCGGTATGTGTGCGAGTGTCCGTGTATGCGCGTCATTGTTGCTGCTGTTTCTCATGTGTGGCATACTTCGAGGCGCTCACTTTTAAATGCTTGCTGAGCGAAAAGCAAGGAAGGAAAAAGGAAAGAAATAAGAAACCCTAAACACAGCCAGCCAAATGTTGGCTTAAAAGCAAAACTAAAAATAAATGCAATTTGTGAAATGTGTGTCATTGTGCCTGTGTTAGTGACAAACTGAAGCTGTAAAAGGCATCTTGGAGCTCAGCCTTTGTGCTGTCTATAGAACTTGCGGCAGGTAAGCGCTTTATTCAATACAAACAGAAGCTTGTACTACAGGCTAGTGCCGAAAAGTCGCATAATTTTACTTATGGCTTCTCTTGGGGAAAACGTTTAAGACAGCAAATAATAATATTAGGTCATTCAATTGAAGCTATTCCGCAGAAGTCTGTAGTTATTTTTGCAATAACTTTTATGTTCATAAAATTTTTTGCTATGTTGCAAAAAAAAAAAACTTTAACCAAGAACAATGTTCAAAAAATCGTTATCTTCCTATTGCTATATATTGCTATATCTGCAACTTCATTAGCAAATATTGGGGACATTACTTTTTCTAAAAAAAATATAAATAACAAATTTGCCAAGTGTTTTTTTTCATTTGATGAATGTTTTTTATTTTTGATTTAATACCTTTTGGTTTCGATTTCAAACTTTCAATTACGAACTTTATTGGACAGCTATGTTACAAGGAATATGTCATTTTAAAAGAAACTCTATTGAGAGAAAGGGCAGATAACGTGGTTAAGAAACTAGGACATTGACTCTAAAGTTGTTTTATATAATCTCGATAGCATTTTTTATATCATTTCCTTGCTGTCGAATTTTATAAAAAGGATTGGCTTTTCTTAATTCACACTTCAAACATATATATAATGATTGGTGTACTTATACGTATGTATTTCAAACCTCTGTTTAACACCGGCAAAGAGCTGTGCATTATTGCGGTTTTATTACGCTTTTGTCTGAATTATAAACAAATTGAATTCTATGCAAACGAATGTAAATGAATTACAAAAGTTTAATAACATGCGCAACCATTTCCATTTTGCAAGGCAAAATGATTTTCAGAGCCCACAGCTTTACACACTCAGTTAGCAACCGCAAGTGAGGGGGTGGTGGCCTGCATAGAAAACCAATTAAAATTATTTGTCCGTATACATAAACAAAAGCAAGCTGGCAAATAAATAACACGAACCAGACTCTACTGAAATTTACCGAGAGCAAGCCTGTGTGTGGCTGCTATACTTGTATATGTATGTATGTGTATATATATGCTCTACATACATATGTATATGGGGCAGTCTTAACTGTAACCCCATCCGTTCGCTGGCAAATTGGGTGCAGCGCATAAAAATGTTAATTTATGGCTCTGTGCCCATGGTATGTACATTTTTTCTCGCTCGTTCGAAAATACTTATGTAAATAAATGTATATATAGACTTATATAAAAAGATTTAAAACGTTGTTTTCGGTTGCGCCAAAGTAATATACCCTTCACTGTCTGTCATCTATAGCCTCATCCATATAGTATCGATGTCTTTATGAAGGAGATTTTCACAGTGAATTCGTACATTTTGACAGCAAACATCTCAATTTATGTAGTGTTTTAAAATAATTAAATTGTTATAGTGTTTTTAAATAATTAAATAAATATGTAATTAGTCAATATGGTGATTCAATAATGAAAAAATAATAGCACCGCTTCCAAAGCTGTAAAATAAGCGTTGAAGTCCCAATAAAGTCTACACATTATTGATCTGTATGTCAAGGATCTAGAAACATATAAATGAAGGATTAACAACATGCATATTTTTTCAAGGCCGGGGTAGAGAATGTTTTTTTTTTATGAAAGTAAAATTAATGATTTACATTGCGTCTGAGCTTCAGTAAAAGCTCTCTACCTGCACACACATCTACATAATCTAATAACAGTGCTGGCTGACTTTCGAGAATTACAGCGTTCTATCAATATACATATAGAATGACAAATTACAAAGTATAAACATCTCATGATTTTGTTACAAACTCTTATGCCAACACAATATACTCGTACCTCTTTGAGCTGAGGTATAGGGTATACAGATTGCCGACGCAGTACAGATACAAAATTGTTATATATTTTTGAAAACATTTTTTTGTTGTATTTGTAGCTGTTTTGCCTTTTTTGCGCTCTTCATTTTGTTGGGCCATTCATAAAACGACAGGCTGCGGCGTGAACGTGACTGTGTCTCTAAATATGAATATGCCGGTGGAAAATGTAGAAAATGTGGAAAATGGGCCAGGCAGTATAGCCTTTCTGCTGACGCGGCTTCAATTTTAAATTTATGGCTGACGTTTCCCGGCAGAGGGCTATGCAAATGTGGAAAATTAAATATGCGCTGCATTTTCTAACAGCTCTCAGATTGCGCACAATTAACAAGTTTGCGTTAATGTTTTTATTTTTATATATAAATTGTATTTTTTAATGGCTTTAATGCGTCTTTATGTCGCCATTTGTATATGAAACGATTTCCGGCCAGGCGAGTAACGAGTGTTGCGTATTTAGGCGGGCAGGAGTGATGCGAAACAGAGAGAGTGAGCGAGAAAGGGAGAGGGTGGAGGGGTGAAAGTTTTTAAGCATTGCACAGTGAAAGGATTCCCGGGGGCAAGATTGCGAAGCATGCGTGCGTGAACATTTAATTAAAGCAACTTATTAAGTATGTAAATTTCCGCAAATGATTAATTTACATATTTATGAGACTAAAATGAGAGTAATAACAACAAAAGCCATAGCTAAAGCTAAAGCTATAGCTACAGCAACAGCAACAGCCACAGCTACAGTATCAGCAACAAAAACTAAAACAATAAATGCAACAACAAACGCAAAGGCTGTCAATAATAATCCGCACAATGTTGCCATAACAAACAACAACAATAGAAATGTGCCGCTGAAATTGTAAATTTTGCATGAGTAGCTTCACATTTAGCATAATATACATACATATATACGTATATATACTTAGTATGTCATATGTCTGTGCAGACACGTAATGACTTGCATGAATTTTATTGCCTGTCTCTGTGAAGATTTAACTAGAATCTTGTGGGGTTTGAGGAAGATGCAAAATTGCAGATTAAGAAGTTTACTTTGCTGCTAATTGGACGCACAGCTAGGGTTGATTAATTGTATGTAGACAGCGAGGAGGTGGATCCTTTTATCCTTTTACTCAGAGTTCTTAATGCTCTAGAAGTCATCCATTAGGCATATACATATGTATTCACAGAGCAAAGACAGCAGCAGGAACAGGAAAAAGGCCTGCGGTTATTTTACTTGAAGATATGGAAATCACCTAGCCATAAAATCGCTTTACAGTTTCTCTAAAATGCTTAAAGCAAGGGTAAGACAAGAAACAATATGTCTTTCAATTTGTAGGCTTTCTTTCTTCGCATTTTTGCAAAGCACAATAATGTGGATATTTATTTCTAGGTTTTAAATATAAATATTTCATCAGATCAAAAATATTTCTAAGGGGGGCAAAAGGAAAATGCAGAAAAACCGTTGCGAATTTCTTATGTAACAGGAAATACATTTTTTTAAATAAATTGTTTATATATGAAAAATATGACTAAAAAGATATTTGTTAGTTTCTTATCGAGGTTCACTTTTGCAATAAATCAAATGGTTGCCTAATTTCAGCAGTGGCTTCGGTGTTTAGAAAAAGGGGTCAAATATGTATGAGTATTCTAAACTAAGCCTAACTCTTAAAGAACATACACATATAATATATATTATGTAAATATATCTGCCGTTGAAATCAACTTAGTTAGTGCTTAGGTCAACTCATTTGCATTTCAACATAGATAGCGAAATTGAATTTACATAAGTATTTTATTTTATTTATTATTCAAATTTAAGAAACGTATCTTTTTCATATATGTATATACATCCGCTCAGATACACATACATACACACATAGACTACTGTATGGTGTGACCTTCGATTTTGGCCCATCAAAAAAAGGTACAATAAAAAATATAACAATGCCAAGGGCAATTGACTTGCACGTTTTTGAAAATTTGAAATGCAAATAAAGTGCCACTACTAAGCACAGACACACACCTTCATGCATATGTATGTATGCATGTATGTACATATATCATTAATTAATAATAGAAACCACCAGGTCCCCACCATTGGCTTTCCCAATTAAGTGCATTTCTCTACGGTTGTCGCTGCCATTTACGTGCTCCAATTAGCGAGGCATCCAACACGGTTGAAAGCATTTTCTCAATGTGTATATACTTGTATGTGTGAGTGTATATGTATCGGTGTAGGTGCCTTGTGTTGTTGTCCTGTGTGTCAATTAATGATATTTTGGTCTGCAGCCATTTGATGTAACTGTGACGTAGCGAGTCGACGCATTTCGTTCGACGTTTCTATTTTAAGTTTAAGCTGCTTACGGTCAAGGTGGAATATTACTTATGTTTTCTGCCAGTTAATGAGCGTTATAGTCCCATTGATAGTGGTACAAATGAACAGTGACTAATTGGAATATTATTCGTGCTGTCAAAGGGAAGATGTGTCTTTTCACTGCTAAAAGCCATTCTGCACTGAAAACCCAATATAAGTGTGTGTGTATGTGTCGGTAACTAGTTATCTGTGCTTTGAATGCTCTTTGCTTTCTTTCTTATGTCCTTTGCACGTTTGCGCTAATTAAAAGTGTTGCCAGTTCGGGACTAACTGACTTGGCTAACGCAGCTAACTGACGGGTAGCTTTATGTATTCGGTACTCATTGCCACCAAAGTCAACAATTTTTTAATTTGCCAAACAAACCTTATATATTTAATTAAAGCAAAGCGGCCAGCTGAAATAGACAAATGAACGGCAAGGTAGTAGGAAGAGATTGTTGGCAGACCAGGCATGCTGGCAACGAGGCAGCAGCTGGCTTTTAACGAAAATGAAAAAGTAACCGTACAAGTGTCAGTTGTCGAGCTTTGCCCCAACTATGCAGCAGCCACACATCTCACCCCATCGCTTCCACCGACCCCATTTTGTTTTCTTCTTCAGGCTTTTTACATTCTGTGCTCAAAGGCCAAAAGGGCATACGTACACTAGGCTAGTGCAGAAAACTAACAATAAACAGAAGACAATGGAAGAAGGCTCCAAAAGCAGAGGTTGCTTGACGAGTTCATATACATTGGTACAACCATCTGCATTTCTTTGTCTGTCGGAGCTCGTAAACTTGCTAGCATTAACG